TCCTCTGCCCTCTGAGCCCACATTGACTGAGTTGAAAATTGGAAGAAGGTGGTTTGTATTTTGCCATCGTATCGCTAGCCACAGAGCCAGATATTCTAGGTACTTATTTCGCGATGTTTTCTTGTTTGTTTTACAAAAATCTTTGGACTGTAAATTTCTTTCTTTCTTTTTTATTCTTATTAGGACAACAATCAACAATTTTCATCTGTTAAAGTGAAAATCTCGTTCAGATTGTAAAACTTCAGTGCGTCTCTATGCGAAGTCTTCGCACATTCGGCAGGTTCTTGGACAGTTCTCCCTGGCGGTAAGAGATGCACAGGTTTTGTACAACTGGCACTCTATGGGCTTAAAATCATAACAGTCTGAACTCCTAGGCACAGCATCAGGGTCTGATTCGACTGCCGAGAGAGAAAAACAAAATCTATCAGTTTCCTCGACATGACTTAAATCGCGCTGAAATGATGAAGTATTTTAACTTGGTGAAGGTCGAAAACAAGTGTTTTGTCCCATCTTGGCTTGACAAGTTGGGAGAAAAGTGTCATGTCTAATGACAGATCGATAAAACATTCTACAACGCGTTAGAAAAATGAGAAACACTGCGTAAATATGTGTAAACTGAAATATGGGTCTGCTGTGGTATATGTTATAATGAACAGCTTTTGTTTTCACAATTAATACAAATTTGCGCCTTATGATCAGTAATGATTTAAGATGATCATCAACATTATTGCTGTGATGTTTGGAGCGCGTTTTACGATAATCTGTGATATGTTTAGGGCTGAAGTTTTGTGAAACTTTATCCGCAGCTAATAAAAGGCAAAAATGATGGAAAATTCATTAGTGAAAAGACAACTATTTTGAAGCGATAAATTATTGAGCTTGGGGAACTCAAAGTGCTAAGCCTAGAAAAAAATTTCAGTTTATCATTCAGAACTTCGATGTCAATAAACTGTTTCAAAGACTCGAATGGGTTTTTTAAAGTAATTCAAGCAATTCAAAGTTGAATTTGAAAATAACATGCATGAAAAGATGTATACAGCCGAAAAGTTAAACTTATTTAGCAAGATGAAAAAATTCCTTTTCAAAACTAATAGAGATCATTTTAGTGACCACTAACGACATTTTAGTTCTTTCAAGAGGAGGATGACACTTGTTGCTCTTCTGCCAAGATTTGGAAAAATATTGTGACCAAACTAAATAACAAAAACGCTCAATATTACTTTAGAAATAAGTGTCAAGAATGGATAGTAGTACAAAGTAAGAACTTCGAAATAATCCGCTTAGGAAAATTGTACAACATACATTTGCGCCTGAAGTTGGGAGCGCATTTCACGTCCAAGGCGATGAAGGCCAACAAAAGAAGTAAGGCTACTTTAGACATTCTCGGTCGATAAAAGCGGGAAATTGTGACATCAATAGTACCCACCGAGACAGTTCCTTTATAATCGTTCAATGGCGTTACATCTGTTCTTTCCGAGCAGGTGGACAATTATAGGTGCTTTCTTTGATAAGATCACCGCCCACTCCCGGAATAATTTCGGGCTTTTTCATTTATCGATGCTATCCAGTCCGGCGACACGATATGCCATGTTGGTTAATATGAAACTCACCAGCCGTCAATAGTTGAACTTAAGCCGCGCCGTATTTACTGGAGCCTCTTTGGCGTGTTTAGTAAATGCTAGCCCGCGTCATAAAAACTTTATTGATTTATGGCTATTTAAAATAAGACTTATCAACCGTTTTAATCATAACTCTGTACTCCAGAACTAAAATGTATCTGCGCAAAATGCAGTCCGCATGAAGAAACTTACCGAGTCTCACGTACAGATCACTGGCCACAGAGAAGTCTATCATTTAATGTTTTATCTGGCAAAGGAATCAACTATCCCTTTAATTGTTCATTTTGATCAGACTACGGATATGAATTTTCAAATAGTTTCTGCCCACACATTGTTTATGAAAAAGGAGGTACAGAAGTAGAAAACACTACCGGCAGGCTTTTTTCAAAAGAGAGAATTCGCGGAGAAACCCGATTCAAACAGTCTAAACTGAAGCTATGACAAGCATCGCTACATTTCGTTTCTTCTTTTATTAATTTGGGTCCGGAATAGAAAATTTTGAAATGAATTGTAAAGAACAAAACTTACAGATGTTGCGTTATGTTTATGCACAATACTTCAATAAAAATGGCTAATTAGCGAAAGAGTCGTGGTTCTATTTTCGAAACCTTTGATGCTTTTGATTGCTTTTGTGACAATTTTTCCCCGTTTTTTTAACGTAAAGACCCAGAGCATAGAAACAGCGAGAGAGAAAATAAGTAATTGTCTGTCTCACGATGTGAAGTGTAGTGTGAAAATTTTGCGAGAGATATACCTCACGGATTGGATAGTTGTTTTTGCGAAAACGAGTTCGTCTGCAAACTACTTTTGCCATTTCCTTTATTACAACAGATCACAACCAATGAGAGGAAACAATATTTAAAATAATTCTAGCTATTCTCTGCTTGATTACTGAACTAATTTTCGAGTTAGTCCAATAACAACAAACACAAGGTGATTGAGAGTGGCAAATTTTCGCAGCGTTTTATTTTACGGAATTTTTTGTTGTTTAATCCGAAACTAAATTTTGGCCATCGAAGAGAATCCGGCAAATCAGTAGAAATTACAAGCCACAAAATTTTTACTCAGCGCTGTGCAGAGTCGTAATCGATTGTACATGCATCTCGACCTTTTTCAACTGGCGCGAGTGTAAAGCCTGGCTTTAACATCAGCGGACGAATTGTAGTCCAAACGTCGCAGCCTGTAGTTGATTGTGGGAGTAAGTTTACGAGACAAACAACTAAAAATTCAGTCATCATTCAATACATAAAATTTCCTTAATTTCACAGACTAATCGGCGCAATAAAATTAATTGTAAGCCGAGATCTTTCCTTCCCCTACACCTGGTCTAAATATTAATGCCGCCGTTTATATCAGCGCACGACAAAATATCTTACCATTTAAGGCCTGCACATTCGTCCAGCTCATTTATCCTAAACTTGATAGTTCACAGTTAACTTTGCACCTCCAGATAGCCCCGATAATATCGACAATACATTTACGCTGTTTACCCTGCAAAATTTGTTGGAGTGTTTATAAAGAAGCTGAGATAGTTCGCGAGATAGGAAGTTAAACAACAAGTAGAAGGTTTTTTTTCATGTTTTTCTCTGGTTTTTTTTTTTTCAACCAAGGCGGCAGCCATTGAGTCTCCTTCCTCATGGAAAAAAATTGATATTGATAATCACTAATTGCGAAGTTTGATTGAAAATGAGGAACTTTGGAGCGACTGTAAAATGAGATTTTATTTATCAGTGATCTTATACTTTCCAGTTCAATCTTTCAGGATAAAATTTGGGAAAGAATGTGCTTGAAAATTATGATTTTGAATTTGAAAAAAATGACAAGGATAAAAACAAGTAAAAAACAAATTGGACCCACGCTTTTGAGTGCTGGTTTAGAACATTTCCGCAAAATTATAAAATATATACTGACTATAAACTCGAGTTATCTATGGTGTTAGCTATATGAAAAGATCCGAGTTTGCTAGACTCATTAACGAGATCTACTTGACCTAGAGATTCGAAATGCAACAGCCTTCGAACATAAAGAAGCAAAGCAGGTGGTTAAGACTATAACTGAAAAAATAAACTCGGACCTCACTAACTTTTCGTTAAATCCTCAACTCAACGCTACAGGAAAAATGGCAAAAAGTATCTTGCTCACAGTTGACCCCTAAGCAGTTGTTTGCACGATATATTTCGGTGATGATGCAGGAAAACAAACACTCCCTTTATTATTTGGAATTAAAGTGAAATATTTTAAACTTCAGAGTAAAAACTGCTGAAAGCATACGACCAGAATAGGAGCTTTGCCGTACGCCATTCACACATCGTTAACTTGTAGTATAACGAAGCTGTTAGGGTGTAAGGATTACTGTACGAATTGTAGTCTTTACAGAGAGTGATCATTGCCTCGTTTTTCTTTGGATATTAAAGACGGGGTTCGCAGGAAATAAGCGGGGCTTTTCTTCGATTCTGAGAAACTTTCGCATTGACGATTCACGACTCCTTTTCTCCTTTTTAATTTTTCTAATCTCTTAATCTTTTCTCCTCTTTAATAAGACAGTAAATCTTTAGTAAGACACTTAATCTCGCCCATTTCACAAGAATTCCAATCTTTTTCCTTAAAAATGTTCTCGGTAAATGTTTTCGGTAAAAATGTTCGTTGCCTCACTCAAAGTTGAGAATCTATTCAGGATTCCACCGACCTAAGTGAGAATAATAAACCTTTTAAAGGTTTTCTTAATCAATTATAACCTCGCGTGCGAATGTTTGTTACCTCCTGCACTTTTCATGAAACAAATGAAAAATTTATTAATTGACAAAAGAAAATTAGAACGCTTTCATGAGAACGCGTCAAATTGTCTCATTAATTATCTATTAGATCGGCATACAGCCGGCTATAATGTGTTCACCAAACCGACTCTTATGGAGATTTAAACGTCACATTACAGGCATCAAGGAACATCCAAATGAAAAAGAAGAGAAGTATTGATACAATCCATAAAGTTTTATTACTCGGCTGCGAATAGGAAAGTAAGAAAGGCCTAATGTACTCTCTTATCCGCCAAGCTTCCGCCATGACAGCATCACAGGCAAATCATGTCATTTTCTTAGGCTGAAAAAGACATCAAATGACTCACGTATAATAATATCTAAAGTTTCTCGCTCGCTCTAGTTAGGTGAGAGTGTGTAAACACGTAATTTTGTAAAAAGGGAGCTTTTAAAAAGCTGCAGTCAGCAGTGTTCTCTTGAATGTCACAAATCGCTTTCGGACACACTGCACTCGCTGTTAAGGGGTTTGAGAAGATTTACTTGTGCAAACCAAATACGTAGGTTATATTTTGGGGAATTTGAGAGAGGGATAACGCCTGTTCTTTGATGAGCAACCCCAACTCCAACCCCATCTCCGCTCCGCCCCGCCCCCCCCCGACCACTTTGTGCTGCTGTTATCATAAAAAGCAAAAGTCGTGCTGTTATCTCAGTCATTCAGCGATTGACCCCCTGTTTGTGGACTAATCGTTATATCGTTTGGAGCTTCGGAGTCCTGTAAAATTTATTGGCAAGTTCTTTAAAGATGTCCGTAAGCAAAAGCAGCGAGTACGAATCAGACAGTATTTCAAGCTTTCAAAAAACGTGTTCTCGAGTTATCTTCGTCTTGCTCTTCTTTCTCTATTTGCTGCTTGTCTTCCCTCAAAAGCTCTACAAAGTAAGTTCAGCTCCCAAGCGATGCCACATCCTTCTTACTTCGTGTCAACAAACATTGGCTCAATTTCCAACTGTCTTCATCTTGTTCAGTCTGCACCGAGTGATCCACCTGGCAGCAAACACCAAAAATGGGATACTAATCGATGAAAAAATCCTTGTTTTGTTTTCGATCGCACTAGTAAAATTCATTAATTTATTATTCGACGTTGACATTAAACAAGGTTAGCTGTTCCCACTTTCTGAAGAAACACGTTGTGGCCTGCAGATTTCTGAAATTTGAAAATAACTCTCGACAAAAGAGTTAGTTGCACAACATTGTACCATCGTTCCTTACACAAAACCTTGGTATATTTGAACGTTCTTTTCATATAAGTTTGCTTTTTTTAGAACTATGGATATTAAACGAATATTTTGAACTTTTGACGACTCAAGCCCAGTTTTTATTAGAAGCCAATAAAATGCTATGGTACTAATGATTGACCCGCGTCAATCATTAATGGCTATTCCGCTTGTAGTCAAATGTTTTCCGCCTCTGAACTAAGAGATATAGTTAATATCTTACTCACCTCCTTTTCCTCGGTCTGTACAGTAAGGTACGGAACCTCTTTTTTTCCACTCGATTTATGGCTCGAGCGCTTCGCGCTTTGGTGATAAATCCGTGCGGAAAAAACTTGGTCCATAACTTAAAGTGCGGTCCTCGAGCTCGGTTAGTAAGAGGTATTACATCTGACAATATATTCCATATTACTGCGCGTCTATTTAGTAATATATTAAAGGTGACGTCAAAATGTGGCAAGAATGAAAAAGTAGCTCACCAGGCGTCGCCAAGTGTATCACTGATGTCGTCACCATATTTTGACATCATCTGTCATGGTCTATTGACCCACGGCAACATGGAATCTATATGATGTGATAAAAAAGCAAAATGTTGTTAATGTTGACGTCACCTATGCGTCACACCACAGATAGGTCATATGGAATTAAGAACCAATCAAAACGCACATATACTTCAGCTTTATAGTCTTTGTAGTCCTTACTTTAACATTGCAACTAATAACGTTCTGCTCCAGAACGTGAGGCAACTAGTTAGTCTGTGCCACAGAAAAAGCTTCTCTGTTTATTAACCAATGGTCATTATCTGGTGACACCATACATTGAACGAAAGGGATTAGTTAGGATAAGTCGAATAGTCTTCACTATTCTGGGCTATTTGATTAGTGAAATTCTACAGGATTTTCAAAGTGCTAGCGACATGTATGAAGGCTTCTATTGAATAGTATAAGGGAAAGGGGGGAGGGGGGGAGGGGGTGTTGAAAGGGTGCTACGCCACAATTGCAAAAATTCAAATTATTTGTTTTTTATTAAACATTCAAGGAAGTCCACAGCCTTTCTACGGCGCTATAGAGGTATCGGCTCCAGTTCTAATCAATTAAAATACATTTAATAGTCTGTTGCAAAAA